TACCATCTTAGCCCCCACCCCATTTCCCACTTATCCCATCTATCTGCAGACGACATTAAAAACTTGGAGCTAAATTCCAACCACGTGTCAGACCTCAATGAAACAAACCTCGTCTCTCGCGCGCACGGAAGTGGAACGAGTGAATCCTATCAGGCAGTCACTTATTTTAACGTTGCCAGGCAAGAGCGCTACACTTTCCCCATTGGTCACCTGTTTGTGGTTAACCCCGTGGTGTCGAGAGTTACGCGCCCCTGATACCCCCCTCCACTCGCTAAGTAAACTGAAGCTTGCAAGTTTTTTCCCCTCGACTTTCTCCTCAAGTGGTGCCGAAATCTCTGGAATATAATCAGTCCCAGACTCACGCATTATCCGACTCTTTGTACTACAATAATCCAGCTCTGTAGTCGCTTACTTCTCACTCACGGACTTATTTCATACAGCCGGCAGCTTTTGTTGCTGAAGGAAGTGACGTCACAAGTGCCACGTGACGTGATCTATGACCGGGGCTGCCAGATTTTTCTGCGAGCCACTCGAAGGTTGTTAAAATTATTTCAGCCACAAATTAGAGATTCGTGGACAAGTTTGAAAATAAAATTTTAATAACCAGAGGGTGACCGCCCCCTGCGTGTCCCCAGGGCGATCCGCCACTGACCGGTTTATTGACCGGTTTATTGACCGGTTTATTGACCGGTTTATTGTGGTTTTAAATCTCCCGCCACTTTTTATGTCTCTCCCCCCGCAGGCGTAAAGCGTCCCCCATTCCTGCCATCATTTGACGCCATATTTTTATTCCGGCTAAACAAAAAAATTTGGCTTAAAAACAAAAGTTGCGCGTGAAATTACATTAATTAAACGCAGCCGTGGACATTGTCGTGGACATTGCCCTAGCTGGACAGCGCAATGGACAACAGAGACAGCACGCCTGCACCTGGTTAGCACACCTGCACCAGCACACCTGCACCAGCACACCTGCACCAGTTAGCACCAGTTAGCACCAGTTAGCACCAGTTAGCACCAGTTAGCACCAGTTAGCACCAGTTAGCACCAGTTAGCACACATGGGACGTGGTTACCCTGGGTGTATGGAAAGATTCTAATTAATTATCTTTAGTCCATGGCTTGATAATTAGACGTCTGTCGCCAAAATTCATTAAACATGTAATTAACGTTTCGGATTGGTAGTTACTGTCTCGTCTAGTTGTGTGCCAAGACATCTTTACATGATGCAACGAGCCAGAAGACACAAGACGAACCAAAAGACTCAAGGCGAGCTTCAAGACGAACCAATAGACACAGGACGAACAAGAAGACATACGACGAACCAAAAGACACAATCCAGAAGACACAATCCAGAAGACATATTTGACAGACGAGAAGAGTCTAGTCGGCTGCCCCACCTCCCGCCCCGTCCACGGACCGAGTCACGTGACCTAAACCAGAACTCACACAGCGGCGGCCCTAAGTTCTCCCTCACACAGAGGCGGCCCTAAGTTCTCCCTCACACAGAGGCGGCCCTAAGTTCTCCCTCACACAGCGGCGGCCCTAAGTTCTCCCTCACACAACAGCGGCCCTAAGTTCTCCCTCACACAACAGCGGCCCTAAGTTCTCCCTCACACAACAGCGGCCCTAAGTTCTCCCTCACACAGAGGCGGCCCTAAGTTCTCCCTCACACAGAGGCGGCCCTAAGTTCTCCCTCACACAGCGGCGGCCCTAAGTTCTCCCTCACACAACAGCGGCCCTAAGTTCTCCCTCACACAGAGGCGGCCCTAAGTTCTCCCTCACACAACAGCGGCCCTAAGTTCTCCCTCACACAGAGGCGGCCCTAAGTTCTCCCTCACACAGAGGCGGCCCTAAGTTCTCCCTCACACAGAGGCGGCCCTAAGTTCTCCGTCATCTCCACTGGCTGGAATCTACACGTCATTAAATCAAGAAAATTAAACTGACAATTTACAACCACGGCCTGACAATTTACGGCCATCACTCAGACAATTTACAACCGTAGTTAAAACTTGGCAGACGATTTTTTTCCCGCGTCGTGTTTTACATCCAGCCGCGACAGGTGTCTGGAAAAAAAAAACTAATCAGAAAATGGCGGAGTAAATGTTTTCATTTTTTGCCTCGTCACGAGCTTCAGGTTTTTTATGTTGCTTTCACAAGATTGTTAGTACATTGTTCTGGCATATGGGAACTAGTTGCTAGTTCGTCCATTGTTCTGGCCAACTTGAGCCAGTTGCCAGATTGGCTGTAATGCGTGATGTAGCTGTATCATGTTTGGTCAAGCTGTAGAGTGGCCAGGGTTGAAACAGCCGCGAAAAATCTGGCCACCTCGTGTAAACACAAAACAAAGGCTCGTAAATTCGGTGTCCGGATGGAATTACTTGGCTGGTTACTCGCTGTGGGGGTCCGGTTACTCGCTGTGGGGGTCTGGTTACTAGATGTGGGGGTCCGGTTACTAGATGTGGGGGTCCGGTTACTAGATGTGGGGGTCCGGTTACTGGATGTGGGGGTCCGGTTACTGGATGTGGGGTCCGGTTACCCCCGCCCGGTTGGGTTAGTTTTAGCAGACCCGGACACACAGGTGGGTTTAGACAGGAGGGTGGGTGATGTTAAGGCTGTGAGAAAAATACCCCCCCCCCACACACACACATACATACACTCTCTCCAACACACACATAGCCACACAAACTCCCACACTTCTGACGATGGACCGCTGCAAGTTCTTTTCAGTGGAGTGTCAGATGCTGACGTCAGAATGTCAGGTGCTGACGTCAGAATGACAAGACTGACCTGTACTGTGGTCAGATTTTGACGTCATCGGTCTGACGGTCATTTGCAGTGGTCAGTGTAGGCTGTGCTGTAGTCAGCTGATGACGTCAGAGGGATATATACATCTAACAATGTGGGAGACAAGTTCATGGAATATTCTAGAAGTTTACATGTAGCTAAAAACAGCATAGAGCAACTATAAGCGGGCGAGAAAAATCTATTCAAGGCAGAGAACTACTTGAAGACAAGAAATTCGTTTTTTTTATGAAAGTGTTTTAAAATAAGAGAAAAATAAAATTTCTGCAGGAAATATTTTATGACACGTTTTATCTTTTTTTTTTGTTTTGTGTTTTTAAGACGGAAAAACGGTTAGAAAATTTTTATTTGAATGTTTATTTGCAAGGCTTCGGTGAGAAAAGGGACGTTTTGCAGGCGTAATTAGTGGGGGTATGACGGTAGTCTAGTGGTCCTGTGGGCTTGTATAGTGGGTAATAGGTGGTCCAGTGGGCAATAGGTGGTCTAGTGGGCTATAATAGGTGGTCTAGTGGTCCTGTGGGCAATAGGTGGTCTAGTGGGCTATAACAGGTGGTCTAGTGATCTTGTGGGCAATAGGTGGTCTAGTGGTCTTGTGGCCTTGTATAGTGTGGCAATATGTGGTCTAGTCGGCTATAACAGGTGGTCTAGTGGGCTGTAACAGGTGGTCTAGTGGGCTTAAACAGGTGGTCTAGTGGGCTATGTGATCTAGTGGGCTATAACAGGTGGTCTAGTGGGCTATAACAGGTGGTCTAGTGGGCTATAACAGGTGGTCTAGTGGTCCTGTGGCCTTGTATAGTGGGCAATAGGTGGTCTAGTGGTCCTGTGGGCAATAGGTGGTCTAGTGGGCTTTAACAGGTGGTCTAGTCGGCTATAACAGGTGGTCTAGTGGGCTATAACAGGTGGTCTAGTGGGCTATAACAGGTGGTCTAGTGGGCTATAGCAGGTGGTCTAGTGGGCTATAACTGGTGGTCTAGTGGTCTTGTATAGTGTGGCAATATGTGGTCTAGTGGGCTATAACAGGTGGTCTAGTGGGCTATAACAGGTGGTCTAGTGGGCTATAACAGGTGGTCTAGTGGTATCAACACTGTGGCTGTAGATGGCGGTCACCGCCCTCATCCACACAACACACTGAGGACAAAAAGCATGCTAAACACATGCGGACAAACACGGACAAACGCGGACAAACACGGACAACCGCGGACAAACGCGGACAAACACGGACAAACGCGGACAAACACGGACAAACGGACTATTGACCGCTCAGATGTCGCGGCTGGGCCATAAATAAAAGTGTCGTCCATTACCTGCTGGACGACCTACAGGCCCATACGGGAGTCACGTGATGCCACCAAACGAGGGGTCCCAAAGTGCACTTTACGGCGGGTCTTCCTGTACTTTCTAGAACTTTCCACGGACCTTCATTTTATGTCCACGTTCTTTGTGGGGATTATGTGCTTCTTTATTCAGTCTCACACAGTCACCTCAGTCAGCTCCCTCAGTCATCTCACACAGTCACCTCAGTCACCTCCCACAGTCACCTCACAAAGTCATCTCACACAGGATTACTACATTTTAAAAATTGATCATTTCTATTTGTTTCTTCTGTCATTTGCTGTTTGCACTAAAACAATGATAGCAAGGAAAACTTTGTCGTCTACCGTTAGATATTACCCGGTGGTGGTGCACGGGGGAGGGGGGGTGTGAGGGGGTGGTCGACCATCCATTTCCCGGTGACTGCTGCATCCTAAACAATTAAGAATTTTATTTGACAAGTAAAAACTTGACAGCCCAAACTTGACAGCCGACCATTAGTCCGACTCCCCTGTCCCATAGAGCAGGGGCGGGTAGTGGCGAGTCTCTGGTCAAACCAAACGACAAAAAACGCTGCAAAGTGCCGCGTCAAGACAAAGCACCGGATGTTGACAGACAAGTCAAGTAGAGAGACGGACGGCAAGTCAAGTAGAGAGACGGACGGCAAGTCAAGTAGAGAGACTGACGGCGGTTTTTGTCCCCAGTACTTGCATGCTTTAGTCAGACAGTCGTCGCGGATGGTCGGTGGTGGGGTGGGGGGGGGGGGGGGAGAATTGGATGATGGGAGGTATGATGTATAGTTAGTATTAAATGAAAAGATATGTGTGATGGTACTTGTAGGTGGGATGGTACTTACAGGTGGGATGGTACTTTGAACTTTGTGGCTACATGTACTTAGAACTTTGTGGCTACATGTACTTAGAACTTTGTGGCTACATGTACTTAGAACTTTGTGGCTACATGTACTTAGAACTTTGTGGCTACATGTACTTAGAACTTTGTGGCTACATGTACTTAGAACTTTGTGGCTACATGTACTTAGAACTTTGTGGCTACATGTACTTAGAACTTTGTGGCTACATGTACTTAGAACTTTGTGGCTACATGTACTTAGAACTTTGTGGCTACATGTACTTAGAACTTTGTGGCTACATGTACTTAGAACTTTGTGGCTACATGTACTTAGAACTTTGTGGCTACATGTACTTAGAACTTTGTGGCTACATGTACTTAGAACTTTGTGGCTACATGTACTTAGAACTTTGTGGCTACATGTACTTAGAACTTTGTGGCTACATGTACTTAGAACTTTGTGGCTACATGTACTTAGAACTTTGTGGCTACATGTACTTAGAACTTTGTGGCTACATGTACTTAGAACTTTGTGGCTACATGTACTTAGAACTCTGTGGCTACATGTACTTAGAACTTTGTGGCTACATGTACTTAGAACTTTGTGGCTACATGTACTTAGAACTTTGTGGCTACATGTACTTAGAACTTTGTGGCTACATGTACTTAGAACTTTGTGGCTACATGTACTTAGAACTTTGTGGCTACATGTACTTAGAACTTTGTGGCTACATGTACTTAGAACTTTGTGGCTACATGTACTTAGAACTTTGTGGCTACATGTACTTAGAACTTTGTGGCTACATGTACTTAGAACTTTGTGGCTACATGTACTTAGAACTTTGTGGCTACATGTACTTAGAACTTTGTGGCTACATGTACTTAGAACTTTGTGGCTACAAGTACTTAGAACTTTGTGGCTACATGTACTTAGAACTTTGTGGCTACATGTACTTAGAACTTTGTGGCTACATGTACTTAGAACTTTGTGGCTACATGTACTTAGAACTTTGTGGCTACATGTACTTAGAACTTTGTGGCTACATGTACTTAGAACTTTGTGGCTACATGTACTTAGAACTTTGTGGCTACATGTACTTAGAACTTTGTGGCTACATGTACTTAGAACTTTGTGGCTACATGTACTTAGAACTTTGTGGCTACATTAAGCTGACCACTGCCTTGACCCGCACCATCCTGTAGTTCCAGATTGATCTCATGTCTCCCCAACAGCATCTAAACCGGACATCGCACATCCACGTGAGTGCCGGCCGTCCCCCCACGTCACGCCATAAACCGGCCGGTGCCGGCCCCCGGGAAGATGCCCAACAGCCGCCCACCATCCGGGTGCTCTCTGAGAGACCAAGTTTTACAACCCCCCCGCTGAAAGACGCCCCTATTCACGGCGTTTATTGCCGTGTTTTGTAATGCCATGACGCTCAGTTTGGCCGTGCTAAGTGGTGCTGTTACTTTTTGTTTTCGGGAATTCCCTAAAATATTGCAGGTTTATCTCTCCATACAAATGTATGTTTGACATGTTGGATGGGAATTTTTTTTTGTTGGATGCCGCACGCTAGATGCCGCACGCTAGATGCCGCACGCTAGAGGCTGTCACTTAAGGTTATGAAACGAACCAGAAGTGTCCAAATAATGTGGGTCACGTGATCTGTTCCTTCTACAAAAAGTTAAAAATAAACTGTTCGGCTAAAACCATGTTTTTAAATAAACTTTCGGACTTCATTAATTGCTGACCAGTACATGTCAATGATACTTAATTATTCCTTTAATTACCATCTGGGTTACATTCATTCTTAAAATATTATTTTTGGTCTTAATTAATTTCTCTGATTTATGTCTAATGAAGGGAAGACAACTTAAGACCCAAAGACAAAAACTACGGGAAATGAAATAAAAGGCTTCATAAATCCCCGTTAGAGATAGTTGGAAAAAAAAAATATTACTAAATTTTTGAACAAAACCACAATTGAATCTAGTTCTTAAAAAAAAACGTTATCTTTATTTTATAAAAAAATAATTTATGTTATTATTTTATCGATAGCAATACCAGTTTCATGGAATCCGTTTTATTATCCAACGTGCTAAAAATTTTTTCGCGAAATGACGTCATGATATTTTTTTCAGTGATACATTGCTTTTATTACAAGCTTTTATTTAACTCACTTCCTCTGTCGTCAGTCGTCAGTCGTCAGTCTAGATCGAAACGCCGAAGTGAAAATTCGGACACTTCTACTTGACCGATACGATTCACATTTGACACGTGGGTCAAGACATGAAGACAATGCAATCTGAAATTAAATTTGACTTAATTGGATGCCTAATTAATTTTTTATGAAATAATTAAAATTTGGACCGAATTAGTAGGCATGTCTATCCAACCACACCACACGCGTCATCACGTTCAATAGCTGCGCCATCAGGTTCAATGGCTGCGCCATCACGTTCAGTAGGCGCGCAATGATTTTTAGTCATGTAACTCTATTGTAAATAAAACATGTAAAGTACTAAAAGAAAAATTCATAAAAAACGTTTTAATAACAAGCTTTTATGTACTGATGCACTAAAAAGTAGAAAATAAATTATACACTACAATTTAAATTACTATAGAGAAAAGCGTGGGTCTCTTCTCAAATATTAGTAAAGGTATCCAATAGATACTAAAGTGACCCACGCTTTTCTTTATAGTTATTTAAATAGTAGTCTATAATTTATTTTCTACATTTTAGTGCATTATAACATAAAAGCTTGTTATTAAAACGTTTTTTATGAATTTTTTTTTACAACTTCTGGTGTATTTTATAGGATTTGTGTAATGGTGACTTGGTGATAGGATTTGTGTAATGGAAACTTGTTAGGGTGTTTGTAATGGTGACTTGATAGGATTTGTGTAATGGTGACTTGATAATTGTTCACTGATTACAAAAATTTGCTAAAGAAAAACATGTTGGCTGGAAAAAAAACAAGTTTGACGGAGAAAGACCAGTACTAGCGTGTGATGTTTGTAAACATGTTGTACACTAACCAACCCCATAGATGTACCACCTCCACACAGATCGTTAATCACGTGATTACCGTTATCTAATGGGCCAATGGAAACACGTGCAGGTGTCTGACCGTCGCTTGACGCACGTGCGGTCATTTGTCGACTGGATAAGGGGGAGGGGGGGTACAACTGTCTCATTAAAGGCGGCAACAATTAATTAAGTCGGTATCGTACACTTGATGGGTCTAGAGAGTGTCTGCTCCGATGGATTTAAATACCGCAACACATTCTGATTTAAGGAGTCAATACAACATCGTCTCATAAGCTTAAGATGTCGGCGACAGTAAAAATCTCCGGTTTGTGCACACGGTAGAATCTCCGGTCTGTGGACGTCACGGTAGAATCTCCGGTCTGTGGACGTCACGGCAGAATCTCCGGTCTGTGGACGTCACGGTAGAATCTCCGGTCTGTGGACGTCACGGTAGAATCTCCGGTCTGTGGACGTCACGGCAGAATCTCCGGTCTGTGGACGTCACGGTAGAATCTCCAGTAGACACGGTAGAATCTCTGGTCTGTGGACGTCACGGCAGAATCTCCGGTCTGTGGACGTCACGGTAGAATCTCCAGTAGACACGGCAGAATCTCCGGTCTGTGGACGTCACGGCAGAATCTCCGGTCTGTGGACGTCACGGCAAAATTTCCGGTCTGTGGACGTCACGGCAGAATCTCCGGTCTGTGGACGTCACGGTAGAATCTCCAGTAGACACGGTAGAATCTCTGGTCTCCGGCCAAACAAATTGGCTCAACACCTACTGTTGATTTATGAAATCTAATGACCCTAATGTCCCCAGATTGGCCACCCTACGCGGATCTTGAAAATTTTAACATGTACTTGAGCAGGTAAAAATTGGGCCACCTTCGCCATTTTGACACTAACATTTTTATGAGCTTTTATTCGAGCCAGCTTTCAGTGCGCGGGGCCCATAGAGCTCGCCCTGCCCCGCCCACTTCCGGCGGTACTCGGGGCGGCTACAGGCGGTACCCATCAACCTGCCAGCCTGCGTTAAATCAAGCAGTTGGTTCCTGCCTCGGCAGGCACAATTTTATGTCCTAATTACTGCTCATTATCCCAGATTGTTGTCTATTTTTGGCCTGCATCTTGTCCTCCCCTCCCCCCCATCCCCATACTCTCTCCCCCTTCCCCCCCCCCCCCCTACACTTTGAGCTAATCGGCTCACGACCTGAGCGTCCCAAAGCTTTTTATTCAGCTCTTTTAAGTCGATGATGTGGGACGTTTTTATAGGCTTAAACCTGGTTAGATGGTCATGTGACCATATGGGTAGCTGGTCATGTGACCATATGGGTAGCTGGTCATGTGACTATGGGCAGCTGGTCATGTGACTATGGGCAGCTGGTCATGTGACCATGTGGGTAGCTGGTCATGTGACCATGTTGACAGCTGGTCATGTGACCATGTGGGCAGCTGGTCATGTGACCATGTTGACAGCTGGTCATGTGACCATGTTGACAGCTGGTCATGTGACCATGTGGGCAGCTGGTCATGTGACCATATGGGTAGCTGGTCATGTGACCATATGGGTAGCTGGTCATGCGACCCAACATAATGATTTATCTAGAACACAGTTGTCACGTGATTCCCGTCACGGTGCGACAAGAAATGAAGATTTTCTCTAATCTCCGCTAGCTTCACCTGAAGCTTTGTGTGCACGCTACCTGTGTCAGTTCACTTCACCTGTGTCAGTTGACCTCACCTGTGTCAGTTCACTTCAACAGTGTCAGTTGACCTCACCTGTGTCAGTTCACTTCCCCAGTGTCAGTTGACTTCACCTGTGTCAGTTGACTTCAACTGTGTCAGTTCACTTCACCAGTGTCAGTTCACTTCACCTGTGTCAGTTCACTTCACCTGTGTCAGTTCACTTCACCTGTGTCAGTTCACTTCACATGTGTCAGTTCACTTCACCAGTGTCAGTTCACTTCACCTGTGTCAGTTGACTTTACCAGTGTCAGTTGACTTCACCTGTGTCAGTTGACTTTACCTGTGTCAGTTGACTTTACCTGTGTCAGTTCACTTCACCTGTGTCAGTTCACTTCACCTGTGTCAGTTCACTTCACATGTGTCAGTTCACTTCACATGTGTCAGTTCACTTCACCTGTGTCAGTTGACTTTACCAGTGTCAGTTGACTTCACCTGTGTCAGTTGACTTTACCTGTGTCAGTTCACTTCACCTGTGTCAGTTGACTTTACCTGTGTCAGTTGACTTTACCAGTGTCAGTTCACTTCACCTGTGTCAGTTGACTTTACCTGTGTCAGTTCACTTCACCTGTGTCAGTTGACTTTACCTGTGTCAGTTGACTTTACCAGTGTCAGTTCACTTCACCTGTGTCAGTTGACTTTACCAGTGTCAGTTCACTTCACCTGACTGGAGACATTGCTCAGAAATGTCCGGCTATTTAACCACAATGTCCACGGTGATGACCACACTTCAGGTAAATGTTACTGGAAGTGACGTCATTGTCGCACGTGTCTATCATACCATCAACACACACACACACACACGCGCTATGATAACACACATGTATGTTAGTGTATGATGACGTCAAAACCTTGTTACACTCAGGGACATACACCTCACATATGTATGTTGCTTTAAAGTCGCATATTTCCAAACTCAGTTGTCAAACTCGCACCAGCAACCCACTTTAGTCCGAGTCATCAAGAGCTCACCAATTCTTTTCTTTCCATCCTTGCTTTAAAAACCACAAATTTGACGCGCAACTACCTGTACACCTATCAACGCACCTGCACCGTGCACCTATCAATGCACGTGCGACGTGCGCCCACCATTTAGCTAAGATTCCCATGCCGTACCCAATACTCCACAATTTTCCTAATCAAAACAAACCCTGAACGCCAGAAAATCGGCTCACGCAGTTCGTCAATAGCGTGAAGGCTTACAGGCTCGAACGATTGAGATCTTCCATTTGCTGATGAGGTTGCTTCTCGCTGGCTGCACACTGCGTCAGGACAACATGACGCTTCAGTGGCGTCATCACGGAGTCACCCAACAGTAAAAATGGAATCAGCAACAGTGCAAATACATCTGTGAAATGACCAAATACATCTGTAAAATGACCAAATGCATCTGTGAAATGACCAAATACATCTGTAAAATGACCAAAT